TTCTCGTAGATTAATGTGTGCATTAACAAGTTGTGGTTTTAATAATGTGGTTTCTTCTGGAGGCTTAGGGAAAGGAGGAAAGCCAAATAACTGTAGGGTGATCTCAATGCCAACACGTATCGTGTTACATACTGCAGAGAAAAGTAAAACTGCTGGGAGCTGCCGGAGCCCACTGGTTTAATAAACACCACCCTGAGACATTCACCAACGTGTCTCAAGACAAAAGTATGCGCCAAGGCGCATGAAGCCAATCGTAGACTATTACACAAATTAGTGTGTTCATGCAGGCGCACTCGCACACGCATGTGTACGCATCAGCTCACGCCCCATCGTCCTATGGATGTGTACAAAGACAAAGATCCCCCGTATAGGCTTAACAGACTGTTGGGGCAAGTGCGTTTAGCGAGCACCTATGAAGACTGGCAAGGCACACGAGGGGATGGGTGGCCAACACCACGCCCGGCCGCCTTTGTCTCCCTAGTGACGATGGTTACACACCGCACCAGGTACCAATTTGAGGCTGAGTCGACCGAGGGGAGGCCCAGAACCGGTTCAGATAATCGTCACCGGTGTTGGCCGTGAGCGGGAATAGAACCCGGGTCGCCAGGTTCGCAGCGCACTAACCGCTGCACTACCACTCCCCACATGACGCACACACACAGAAAAGCACACGACCGTACGACAACACGTGCAGGCACGCACACACGCGTGTGAATACTGGCACGCACGTTTCCAGGGACACACACAAACATGCACACACATTCCCGTTCAAGAATCCACCACACACACTTCAGTGCCATCTGGCTCCTGCCACTCAGCAATTCTTAACAAAACAACGTGCAGCGTGCCCACCCCATCTATCTATTTGGCCTCGCAGAATGTGAGCATCTACTGTCAGACATTCGAACCCCGTGACCTATTCGAGCATGGGGGTTGTTGTGCTCACTTTCATTATAGCGAGGGTGATGAAATGAAACAAACTCTATCCCAACCCAGTTGTGTTTCTGTAGGCGGTTAAATTACAGCCAGTCCAGCATAACTTACAAAGAACGCTTGATATTTTATTTTTAATCCTATTTTTATGCAGAGCAAGAATGATGTTTGTATGTTGAACTTCTTTCGCACCGTACGTAGCCAACCGTGCTAATCGTAAGGTAATAATACTATACATGTACAACGATGTAATTTTGTATCATGGGCAATCCAATACAATATTGCATTGTGCGTAATACAGTTGAATATGTCATTGTACGTAAAACAATGTGATACTGTGCATAATACAATGCTGTAATATTGCATGTGCAATTGTAGTTACTGCAATGTACATAATGCAATTTTACAGCATTAATTTACAAACCAAATATATTGTAAAACATGTTTTGTAATTTTGTAATTTTATTATTGTAACAAGCCTGAAATGTATCTCGAACTTATTTAGCCAAAAATGCTAATCGGAGGTGCAAATAACAAACAAAAGCCACGCGTTTTTGTAACGTCTTAAAAACACGCCAACGCGCGCTACTTTACATGATCGTCTCGATGCAATATTGCGGGAGATTTTCACTCTTTTTTTTTATATGACTGCCACACCTTTGCGGCAAGCTCAGATTTCATGTTGCGGAGGAACTGCGCCACCAACCAGCAGCAAGGGGTGGCGGGGGCTTGGGAACCGCAGGGACGGCCGCCACGGAAGCGCGTGGTGATGCACAGCCCTGTCGCGGGGATGGAGTTCACCTTGAATATGCGACCCGTGGTGATTTTAGACCCCGAGCAGCGAGCACGTGATCATGCTCCCAGGGCGAGCCGTGTCCGACCCAGGGATACACTCAGCCCCGAATCAATTCTATAACCTTGTCCGGCTTCGTCGTCGTCGTCTTTGGTGCGGCAGTTGTAGACGCAGGGCAACTACAATGTCACCATTCAGGTGGTCAGGCCGGATAACCGCGTCGTGAGCGGTAGCGGAGTGTATCGCCGTGATGTCTCCTTTGTATTTGTGGATCGGGCATTGCGTCGTTGTACGTTGTACGGTCTGTTCTGGATGACCACAGTCATGGCACACGACTGGAGACTTTTTAATTTTCCATCCGTGCATCAGGTATCCGCGTCCGCCCCGACCTTGTCCGTGTAACCAGACGAATGCCTTCCTAGAGAGCGGGCTTGCCAGAAGCTCATCAGGGCCGACCGTTAACCTTCATCAGTGCCTGTGATTTTTAACAAAGTTGTTAAACCTATCTCGGGTAACTTAAGCCTTGTTGAACTCTACAGTAACCTACATGCATGCAGCTAATAGCAAAATTATACACACAGTTCTTTTTAACAGTATTCAATACAGTATATATATATATAAACACAAAGTGTTGTCACGTGTGTAATTAGGAATGTGTGTAAAATTGGTGCAAAAAGTGGTCATATGGTGGTTAGTGTACCACGCGAACACTTCCAGCAACCCAAGATTTATTCCTAACGATGCACACATCATCGGTGGCAAGTGAACATGTTCTGGGCCTCCTTTAGGTCAACTCAGCCTTAAATGAACAATTGATGCAATGGGGGTAAACATCAGATTTAGATGGGCAATGGCCGCAATTTGTTTCTTAATGATCACATCAGGGTATCATAGAAATGTGCTAAGAATATGCAGGCAATGTGGCTTGTACCAGCATGCAACATTCAACATGCTTTATTTATGAAACGGAGTTAATTGCGCGATTGTTTATGGGATGCTGCCGTGGTGTAATGGTTAGCAGCACACTGGACTCTCACTCTGGAGTGTGCGGGTTCGACTCTATCTCCCAGCACCGCAGTTGACACAATGGAACCAGTTTCTGACATCCTCCTGCCTCCGTCCACCCAGCAGTCTGGAGGTGTTCACCACGGTCGATCGTCAGGTCAAGTGTGGTGGCGTAAAGTGTGGGCACTCCCACCTCTTGCAAGACGTCTGACCAGCGTGGAAGAGTAGGCCAAATACCATCTCTAGGAGTCATGTTGAGCTGTCTCATCAATAATGGTGTGAGCAAAGAATATCAGCGCTGCGCCTTCATCTTGTACATAGCTCTGCATTCTAGGTGTCCCAGTGCTGCTGAAGAAATGTTAAAAATCCAATAAATACTGCGGTGGAAAAATCCATATCTATGTTTTATATAGCACCTACTTGGTGTTTATAAGGACATATATAGTGCCTTTGCCTTGTCAGCATTTCCTCATCCCGTGCGTATTAGTTACGGGCGTGCGAAGCACCCAAAGTAGCATCGGCTGCCAAGGCTTTGGAAAGCGAGTACTGCGAAAATTTACAGAAATTCGATCATTGGAATCGTTCGATAATTGGAATCATTTGCACTGGCAGAGTCGTGCTTACGGACTGCCAAGCGCTTCGTCTTGCGTCTTCCCCTGCAGTCAGCAGTCTGCCACATGAACGCGCCCCACCCATTGGAGCCGCCTGCTCCGCCACCGATGCGGTTCTAAGCGTCTCGTTAATAATTCAACCGTAAAGCCCAGCGTCTTGATATTTGCGAATGCGCATTTTGTCCATTCGCATCTCATCGTAACGCTTCAACATCTACTTGTGTTACCGTTGTTTGCCATAGATGTACACGCTATGTGTTACAGAGTGTGTGTGTGTGTCACACAGTCTGTTTGCTCAGCAAATTCATGTTGTACTCTCATTGCCTCTGACGGTCCCTTGTCAGAATTTTAACCTTGATATTTTTAAAGAATCTGAGTGTTCGGTCTCACGGTCGCAACATTTCAAGTTTGACTGGAAGTGTTTTTTTGGTGATTACATTTTTATTGCAGAGTGAATTATTGCATCCAAATGTAACAGATTGATTTACTTTACATTATCATTTTCTATCCATGCTTTACGAAACATACAAAGTATTCGCTTGCTCTACAGTGGTCTTATATATAATGGAATATATTTAAGCTAAACAATTAAAAATCTGGGTGGGGCAGTGCCACAGAAGCTAGCAGCATTGTACAATCATCCCTGTGGACCGAGTTAAATTCCCAGCAATGACCAACATGAGTGGCCGAGTTTTATCTGAACCGGTTCTACCCCCTCCCACCATTCACAAGCTGTCCTGACCAGCGTTGATTCATTTTATGGTCAAAACAACCCCGATAATTGAATGGTGTAGGGGAAGGCCTTCAACCAGCAGTGGCTGGATGATGCAGCACAGTGTTCTTCACGAATTTGCAGAGGGGTGGGGAGCCACTTGAGCCAATAAGACATCATCAGTGTGTGAGTGCTGCCACACATTTGAAACCATTGATGAGGATTGGGGGGTGTTTTTACATGTTGTGTATTGTCAGGGGGGGGGGGGGTAGGGGGCACGTCAGGGGCCGCGCTGAAGGCCACCAGGGGCTGTTAGTGGCCCGCGAGCCTTGAAATTAAGAATGCTGCCGTAGAGTATCTGGCCACGTGGAGATGTATGCGGAGCTCTCGTGTCACGGTCGGGCGGTTGCAAGTTCACGTCAAAGTCAGCGGCTGACTCAGATCAGTCTCCCCTTTTGTCATAGACAAATCAACATTTTTAATTCAAGCATAGGATCAATGTATCTTGAGGCCCTATATCGGCACAGCTTCCCATTGTTAATGTTGATGATGACCCTCCGGTTTGACTGCCAGCAGCCGCAGCTAACCAATTTCTTATATGCCTACAATTGTGTAAAAAAAATGGACAGGTGACAAAAGGGAGACCACGTGTACGTGATCTTAAAGAGTGACCTTATTCCTTCACCCCCCCCCCCCCTTCTTCAATGGTTCCGTTGCGTTGATACATTTTTCGCGAACCGCATCGCCTGGTTGAGCGAGAGCTCTTGCGACGCGCTGTAACGAGCTCGCGTGTCGTTACAATAAAAGGAAAAGAGCGACCTCAGAAGTCGCCACTCCTGACAGGGTTCACTCAAGACTTGGAGTGCAGCTTGACAAAAATTAACTCATCTGTGTGTCATTGTTTGAGAGCGGAAGGGACTAACGATTTACGATTTTGCATTTGCAGGCTCGCTGAAGACCCACCCAAGCCATGACCTGCTTCTAGAAAATGATTTCTCGGTAAGCAGCTGAACAGTCCGGCGTTGTCGAGCGAAAACGGCAAGTGGCCAGAGCAGCCTCCAAAGAGTCACTAGATAGACCTTCTAAAGCCAGCAAAATGTCACGAGACAAATTAAGCAAACATTACACACAGGGCACTGATACAGGGTCCTTACAACAGACCTGGAATCGTTCCTCAATTTGCACAATGTCCTCGTCCCAGGGAGCCGCTAGATATGTCGCTCTTCCTTTTGACAAATGTAGTCACTGGGGAAACCCAAAAGGTCCACTACGTCTAGCGACAAAACTCGCTCGGCTGTCGACACTGGAGAGGAAGCGCTGGGCATGCACAGGCAGCACAGCAGCATAGCACGACCCCTAGCGATGACATCCTCCGTCTACTTTAGGGCACTGAAGTTTTACTGCTGCTGAGGGCGCTCTCGCACTACTTACTGCTGAACAGTTCTGTTCTCAAGCACTGCGGTGAAACGTGGAGGAATAGCGCGCTGTAGAGATATACGTTCCCATTAAAAAAAATACTCGAGTAGCTTCTTTGGGCCTAGATATTCTTTGGGTCTTTCGGTAAAGCCACGTAGATAAAAGAAAAATATCACGAAAAACATCGCGACGTTTCAATTGCAACACAAGCAATCGTCATCACGTGATATTATTATTATTATTTTTTATCTACGTGGCTTTACCGAAAGACCCAAATAATATGAATTCCTGCAGTCACGAAAGCTTTATGTCAAGGCCTAGATATTGTTTCACAGATGGGTGGTGGATCGTGCAGAAATGAACGTAGCTTTGTAATACAAATACTTTCGCTGTAGTTAAAAGGTGTTCTCAATGAATAAGGTCATCAGCAAAGGTAGCCCGGTGGCTTTATAGCTTGCACAGAATTAAAGAGTCTTGTGACGCGGGTGTAACCGATAGTTATTTTATAACCCAGTCAATGTCCATTACTTACCAAAGTGAATTCATATTGAAATGCAATTCCTCTATTGTACAGAAAGCCTGGGTACTATGCCATTGGGACAGAAAGAGAAGTAAATAACAGGTAGTCCTCTACTTACGATGGAGATGCGTTACGACGACCCCATCGTAAGATCGAAATATCGTAAGTCGAAGATGGCCTAGCCTACCCAGGAGTCTTAAAGAATGGTGATAATTTAGCAAAACAGAGCAATTTATAGTAGCGTATTGTCTAAACTCTGCAAAAAAGAGCTACATCGCTCAAGTGGGCCTTACCTGGGGTAAAATGACGGCAATAAAATAGATTCCCACTCGGAATCACGGCCACGCGCAGGGAGCGCGCGCGCGCGTTGTTAGCTTTCTGATGTTGATAATTGGTATTTTACCCTTCTATCTGGCAACAAAACTGCCACCTTTTTTACAAGGAGTCATGTTTGCATAGACCACAATACCTGCAGTCATAATGCAAACAAAAAACATAACTCTGATAATGTGCACAGGACAGTGCACATTATCAGAGTTATGTTCTTGTAAAAAAAGGTGTCCGTTTTGTTGCCAGATAGAAGGGTAAAATACCAATTATCATATTTTTTACTGGCAAATGAGGTTCCAACGGTGTATCTTGCTGATGTTGTCATCTCCGTCCTCTGTGCAGCTTCGCGAGGTTCCTGCGGACGTACCAGACAATTACCGACCGCCGCCTCAAGGCTCCTCCCCCGTGTACGACCCCCCGCTCGAGTATATAGACGCGGTACGTTCTTCCCCCCTCTGAAGCCGTTCTACTTTGGGGTTTTTTTTTGCTTTGTTTTGTGGTGCTTTTCAAAATAGTTTCCTGTTTATTTGTAAATCAACGTGGACAACCGGGGGCAGATCGTCGTTTGCCCCTGGAGGCAACCAAAAGCACTGCTGAAATAAATACATTCACATTGTGGTCATCGTTGAGCACGGTGATAGAGAAACTCATCGATATTAAATTGAATTTCATTTGGCTTTACCATTTCCGGTCAATAATAGATTAGGTGATAAGATGCTCAAACACCAAATCGACACACACCTATTGCAAGGCATCATCAAGTCTTCATTTACCACACACATGCTTGTGGTAAAACATGCAAACAAATGTGCGTTGATAATGTGTTTGTCTTCGAAAAACGGCTTATCCTCCACTAGAGACGCCTGCTCTGTGGCCTTGTCTGACCACCAGTGTTGGAGCAGAGAACGACAAAAGGCGAACAACACAGAAGCATTTATACCTCGGGGTTGAGCACTTATATCTTAACACCTCCTGTGTTATTGCGGGAAAGGATAAAGCCTATTTTTTGCTTGGCATATTGGCATAAAAGGTCCCGTAGATGTCAACGTTATTCATTCGTATTTTTTTTTGTCACGCAAAGATGCGAGCTGTAAGCGTGCATTCCATAAAATATTTTTTTGGGTTAAATCATGTAAATATCGTAAATATGGGTTCTCCAACACACCGGTTAGTGCTGTACTAGTGATGAACTGGCATGTTCTGTTTACGTGACAACCCTTACTAGTTGGCTGTGTCGGGTGGTGACAGGTTTTAACGACACATTCATATATTTACGCGATCTAACGCAAAAAAACCTCTGTGTATTTGCCGCGAAAGTCTACGTGTGAAGCGTGCATTCCGATCGCACGTAAAACGCTTTGCCATTCAAACACCTAATGTGCAATTGAAAACCCGCCGTAATCTATTCCCTTCTTTTTCGACTTCCCTGCAGTCAAGTAAGGAGCAGCTGTCAGAAGATTTTGTCAGGAGTTGGAGGTGCGCCTGCGCGGCCAAGGAGGCCATGGCTACCTCTGACGTTTCGGTGACTTCTGGCAGCGTTGAGGTGACGTTGGCGCGTGCCCTCACTTGCACCTCACTCTGCAGCCGGGGGGAGAAGAGCGTTTGTTGGATCGTAATGACACGATACCTTTTTAACGGCAGCAGGCACTTTGTCAGGGGTTTCGTTCGACTGATATTCACATCGATGCGAGGTGCCTTCATTGGCATGACAAGAGCAATCCAGTATTGCCAATACACCGAAGCAGAAACAGTCAAATATTGACGCATGGTATATTGATCAGTACGAAATTGATCACATTAACAGATAACTCCCCCTTCCCAATATTAACATCTGAAGCTCTTTCTAGAACTAATATAAGCAATATAACCCCGACCCCCACGCCTTCATCTCTACAAAGCAAAAGAGGGATTGCCACCGGTTCCTAGGTGTTTGCTCTCGTTCAATTTTTTAAGTGGCCGCTGTTCTGGGAGATCTGTAAGTGCTCCAATGATGTCCAAAAGTCCCAGTTTTTATCAGTTGCGAATTAATAATCATGACGATGATGATACACCACTCAAGATGATGCATTTACCTTTCGTTCTCCATAATCTGGTTACAGGGACGTTCATGTCAATATCGATTTGAAGCCCATGGTGACAGGTTTAACTTCTTTTGCACCGTAGGTAGCCAGCCGTGCTAATCGGAGGTGCATTTCATACCCGTGTTGCGTGTGTCTGTTCAGGAGTTTGATGCGGACGAAGTTGTGGAGGTCCTTCTAGATAAGGAATCCAGCAAGGCAGCTGCTGCTGGAGCGACTGGCCTAGAAATCAGTGGTGGAAAAGCTGATGGCATCTACATAAAAAAAATCAAGAAGAACACATCGGCCGCCAAGAGCCATAAGATTCACGAAGGTGAGAGCAAACTTCCATTTTGTGTCTGAACTCGTTCGAGGCCATAAGAGGCCCTCTTTAGAGGCCCTTTTTTTCAACTTCTATTGAGTCATGTACGGAGAAGGCGCGTGCATCTGCCGCGTGTTTTGCAGACGCGGGTTCAGTCGACCGTATTTTACGTTCGATTAAAAAGCCACGAGTATCTTAGGTGAGATCACCAATGAGGTCCTTGTTCATTATGTTGATGTTGTTACAACTCTTTCTGACGTTGGGTCACCGAGGGGGTGGGAAGAACCCTGAATCTTGGAGCTCTTGCACTGAAAGCCACAAGTGTTTCCTGAACGTGGGTCTCAGTAAGTTACTTCTATATTCGTGCATTGGAAGGTCCTTGTTTCCTCTGGCTAAATGGGTCTCCCCGAAGTTTTACCATGGTGCGATGAATTTGAGATGGGCAAACGGTCGCCACACTGGGAATCCCATGGATGTGTAGTTGATGTTACGATGGTTGTAATGATCTCCATGGCAGATAAGTGGACAGTCGATTAACGGTGTGTGGGAGCTATGTCTAAACGTATGAGAAATATTTTGCTGCAACATTTTTGACGTTGCCTGGACTTACTTTTATTCAGCTGAATGCCGTACAACTCGGCACCTCCGATTAGCACGGTTGGCTACATACAGTGCGAAAGAAGATCAACGTATGTATAAACGTACATACAACTCGGTTGTAAATCAAAGTATGTTTTCCTCCATAGTATGAGGATATTGGAGCGTAAATAAGAGCGTAATACTCGCAATATTATTTACTGAGCTGATTTACTTGCTTTGTTACTTGATTGTTCTGGCTGTACAAATATTGTTCTGGCTCTGGCAACCGAGGTAAAGACCTAGGACCAAGGTGGTGGGGTTTACTGTTAGGGCAGATCCAGGAAGTTGAGTGTTGACGATGCAGCAAAGTCTGGTGGCACCATGATGACATCATCTTATTTTGTGCACAACCGTAACCTCCGCTCCAAAAATGTAATGTGCACGTCTTTCTCTACAAATTAATGCACTTAAAACTCTTTTCATACTCTTTGGTTTTTTCGGTGAAGTCACGTAGGTGAAAGGTAAGATAGCCGCCCTCACCCTAGGTAAGAAGTATGGATCCTTGCAGTCACGAAAACTTCTAATCTAGAATTGAAACTCTTTTGTTGACAATGTGATGAAGTGGTGATTTTCTCACCTCTAGGTGACCAGATTCTAAGTGCCACTGTGTACTTCGATAATATGAAGTATGAAGATGCCCTCAAGATTCTACAATACTCGGAGCCTTACCAGGTTGGATTCCGTCTCAAGAGGAAACATGGAACCGCAGCCTCCGATTTGGAAGCTTCAAGCTCTTTTGGATCAGCTGATGTGGATGTAAAGGGCTTGAGAGGGGTAAGTGCCTTAATTGTTTGTGATGAAAACAACTTTGAAACAATATGCACAGTGTAATAAGTGATACCTATATTATTTTATTGAACAAGAGTCCATTACAAAGCACGAGCGATAGGGGAAAGGGGTACACAAATATGATGTAAATATGACACCTTGCACAATGAAATGTCGATGGGAAGGGATGATTTAGAAACAAAATTGGTAATATCTTTGTGCAAAGAAAAACCAAATGCACATCCGCAAATGGCATCGGTGGAATAATGCCTTCACTCGGTAGTAGATTGATGTTGAGGATTTTATTTTTTTACGAATGCATTTCACTGCAGTGAAATACCATATTGTTAAATATCTTTATTTAACATTTTAGTTGTGGCTGATGTGTTATTTTAGTAATTTTAATAACCTTAATGATCTACAGTCAGATTCCATACACTGTGACATTACCTTCATAACATAAAATGCAATTTTATCAAAAATAAAAAAAATAGTAGCGCTAAAATCTCATGTTTTTCAGTGAAAGTAGATTGCATCACCCATAAGAGGTCAACTAGTAAGGGTTGTCACAAACAGAACATGCCAATTCGCCACTAGTACAGCACACCGGTGTGTTGGAGAGCGACAGACAGATTTCAAATCTAGCTGTGGCCTGATGAAGCTAGTTGTAATTACTGGCGAAACATCATACTCAAGATTGTAAATGTTGTGGCTTGGCTCTCCAACACACTGATGTGCTGTACTAGTGACAAATTGGCATGTTCTGTTTACGTGACAACCCTTACTATTCTTGGGTCTTTCGGTAAAGTCACGTAGATAGGTTCAAAGAAAATAACAAAAAAAACTACGACGTCTCAATTGCAACACAAGCAATCGTCATCCAGAGAAAAAAGAGCAGGAAAGCTGCTGAGACAGGCTGTTTTAAAGGTTTGAAATGGGTGTAGCCCAAGGGTCATGTATATAAACACAGACACAATTTCAACCGAGAAAATGGGTACAAACTGAGCAATCATTGGAAGGACGTTATCAACCAGTTTAAGTCATAACTGGCTGTGATGTTTCCATCCTACCTTCCGATGTTAGTAGTTATTTTCGACTCTGGTTTTACATTAACAGGTTAAATGTCTCACTAACACAGCCACCGTTGCTCGTGTCCTCGATGTGGCAGTGGCTCTGCGATCTTACATTGACATGCTAATCTCTCACAGTACAATGGCCACCTCCGCGCCTTCATCATCGTGGAGGAAGCTCTCCGACCTTACATTCACATGCAAATTTCCCACTTAACATCACTACCCCCGCCCACTTCGTTTATGACCCTTGGGCTACACCAGGGGTCGGCAACCAAAATAACAAGAAGAGCCATTTCTTTCCAATTCGGTACAAAATTCAGTATTTCAAGAGCCGCAATGCATCTGAGTACATACTGTACATACGTACATATCGTCAAGAAGCAGCCCGTAAAGAGCCGCATGCGGCTCCGGAGCCGTAGGTTGCCGACCCCTGGGCTACACCCATTTCAAACCTTGAAAACAGCCTGCCTCAGCAGCTTTCACGCTCTTTTTTCTCCTGATGACGATTGCTTGTGTTGCAATCGAAACGTCGTAGTTTTTTTGTTATTTTCTTTGAACCTAACTATGTGACTTTACCGAAGACCCAAAAATATGAATTCCTGCAGTCACGAAAGCTTTAAGTCAAGATTTTGCCCTTACTAGTTGACTGTGTCGGGTGGTGGCGGGTTTTAACAAAACATTTATATATTTACGCGATCTAACCCAAAAAAAACCTTATGGATGATATTGGTCGCGAAAGCCTACATGTTAAACAGATTGCATCATAATTACATGTGTTAAGTGATTGAATGACATGACAGATGTGCAGTGGTTGTTTTTTTCCTTTAGGTACAACTGTACGCTGTTTTGTGTTTTTTTAACAGACTGGTCAAGGAGACATACATTCAAAGAAACACAAAAAGAGGGCGAAGGCAAACGAAAATGTGTCGGGAGAAGACTCCGAGATGAAGTCACCCGAAATTCCGGACGTGGAGCTGTCGATGCTGAAACTTCCGAAAATGAAAAAGCCACAAAAGTCGAGCAGCCTCAGATTCTCGAAGAGCAGCTCCGAATACGACGAGGAACTTCAACCCCAAAATGAGGCCGGAGGTGAGGCCCATTTTGTTGAAGGTGACTCTCCGAGGGGAAAAGGGAGAAAAATAAAGTTAAAAATGCCACGGATACATTTTGGGGCATCAAAAACTAAAACTCACAAAGCCAGTTACGACGTAACATCACCAAAGCATGCAGGAGCAGACCCCTCTAGGGGAGAATTGCAGGGAGAATTTAAACAAATTTCTGATGTCCCTGGTTTGATGATAAAGGGAGCAGATGCCAAAGTAGAAATGCCTTCTGTGCACGTACCTTACACTGAAATTGATCTTGATACTACTCTTCCAAAAAAGGACACTGGGATAGAATTCCCAGGTGGAAAAGCAAAAGGCTTTCAATTAAAAATGCCAAAATATCAAATCACTATGCCTAATGTTTCTGGGACAGATATTGGTGTGAAAGATATGAAAGATCCGACATTCCAAGGTGATGTAAATGTTGGTATTGCCACTGATAAATCTGATGTGGGATTTGAAGATCAAGGAGGCAAACCTGTAATGCCAGTCATAAAATTCCCAAAATTCAGCATCCAAACAACTGATCCAAATATTGATGACAGCACATCAAAAACTGAGATTTGTGCACCTAAACTAGACATTTCTCCAAATGTTGATGTTAATATTAAAGATGGATTTGGAACACATTTCAACATGCCAGAAGTTAGCACTTCCAAAGTAAATGTAGTTGGGCCTTCAATCACAACTATAGAAGGGGGTGTATCACTACCAAAACCAATTGAAGATTGGGAATATTCAATAACTTCAGGTGCTGCAATAAAAATGACAGATGTTGACACTTTAGGACCTGAGTTCAAAGACACAGGTATGGTTTCACCAACATACACTGTTGAAAAATCCACTTCTAAACTTAGAACAGAAACAAAGTATGTTGAAGAAGTAGACATCAAAGGATTTAAAATACATGGTAGAGAAACTAAACTAAAAATGCCACATTTCCATATATCTGGGCCTAAGATTGATGCACCAGATACCAATATTGATCTTAACGCACCAGAGTACAAAGCGGATGACATTTCTCTGCAGAGTGGCATAACGGGCCCAAGAGTTGAATTTGGTGCAGATACCTCGGGCATCGATATTAAAGGTCCAGATGGAAAGTTTAAAATACCTAAATTTGGAATTAGTGGTCCATGCCTAAAAGATTCTGAAATAAATGTAGACTCGAGTTTTCAAACTGCTAAAGTTAACATAAAAGAAAAATTCCCCCAAACAGATGTGGACATGACTGTACCAGAAGTACCAATAGAAATAGGGAGTGACATTAAAAGCCCAAAAGTTGGAATCGATGCTGCAGGTCCAGACGTAAATATAGAAGGTCCAGAAGGAAGGTTTAAAATGCCACAATTCAAAATGCCAAAGATCGGTATTTCAGGTCCTGGTATTAAAGGTTCTGACATTGATGTTGATGTTAACCTGCCAAACATTAATCTTCCCAAGGCAAATGTTAATATTTCCCCACCTGATGTTGAACTTGACATAAATGCACCGAAAGGGAACATTGATGTTCACAATCCATACATGAACTTAGAAGATTCAGAAACAGATGGGAGAGGAAGTAAATTTAAAATGCCCAAATTTAATGTTTCAGCTCCAAAGATGAATGCACCAGATGTCAGCTTTGATTTTAAAGCGCCACATTTTAAAGCTAAAACAGATGCCTCGACACCAAAACTTGAAGCCGATTATAAAAACCCGCATGTGGACTTCAGAACATCAAAAGGATCAGATGCAAATATTGAAGCTCCCGAAGGCAAGTTTCATATGCCAAATATAAAAATGCCCAAAATAGATATATCTGCACCTAAATTTAAAAGTACCGACCAAAATATTGATGTAAAAGTACCACTGACTGATGTTGACATTTCTCCAATTCCTCATCTTAAAGAAAAAGTGCCCAAAGCTGACATGAATGTGGAATCACCTCATGTTTCTCAAAAAGGGTCTGAAATTGATGGCAAAGGGTTCAAATTGAAAATGCCAGATGTTCACTTATCTGGGCCCAAGATACAAGCACCTTATGTTAGCCTTGACTTTAAAGAACCTGAAACTGATATTTCTGTTCCTACTCTGGAAGGGGACAAGAAAGGACCTTATGTGGAATTCGGTACTGACATACCCAATGTTGACATAGAAGGGCCTGAAGGGAAGTTCAAAATGCCGAAATTTAAAATGCCAAAATTTGGCATGTCTGGTCAGAAGTTCAAAGGTAGTGATATAGATGAAGATGCAATGTTATCAAAGCCTGAAATTGAAATAAATGAACCTGATCTTGAGATTTCTGCGAATCATCATGATGTGGATGTAGGTGGTTTGGATATTGAGCTTGATAGAGAACATAAGGGTTTAAAATTTAAAAAGCCCAAGTTTAATATTTCAGCACCAAAGATAAATACACCACATGTAGGAATAGATTTCAAGCCTCCACATTTTAAAACCAAAGATGATTTTTCACCTAATGTAGAGGGTAACATGAAAGACCCTAATGTAGAAATAAATGCTCAAACCCCAATTAGAGATATAGAAGGGGGAGACAAGAAATTTAAAATGCCAAATTTTAAAATGCCTAAAGTTGGTATATCGGGTCCAAATATAAAAGATTCTGAAATGGATTTGGACAGTATGCTTCCAAATGTTGATGCTGATAGGTCAGTACCTGAAATAGAATTGGATGAAAATGCGCAAAAAATTAAATTGATATTGCTGATCCAAACATAGAAAGAGAAGGAAAGAAATTCAAAATAGGTATGCCAGATTTGCACTTCTCTGGGCCTAAGTTACATAAACCAGACATAACACTCGACATAAAGGCTCCAAAACTTAAAACCAGAGATAGCTATCTAACTAAACCTGAGGGTGACATCAAAGGTCCAAATGCTGCTGTAGAGATTGGAGTACCCACTTCTGAATTTGATGCCAAGGTTAAGGTTCCAGAAGTAGATTTGAATCTGACAGGGACCGATGTAGATCTGGAAGGGCCTGATATCAAAGGCAAAAAGTTCAAATTCGGAATGCCAGATGTGCACTTCTCAGGACCCAAGATACACAAACCAGACATTAACTTTGACATAAAAGCTCCAAAACTGAAAGGAAAAGGTGACTCCCTACCTAAACTTGAAGGTGAATTTAAAGGGCCAGATGTGGATGTAAGTGTTGAAGGTCCAGATGTGGAAAGTCCCGATGGAAAGTTGAAAATGCCTAAATTCAAAATGCCCAAGTTTGGAATCTCCGGCCCAAAACTAACCGGTTCCGACATAGACTTGAATGCCACTGTGCCGAAGGCAGATATTGATGTTTCTCTACCTGATGCCCAGTTAGATGTCAGTGCTCCTGAAGTGAAAGTCGATCTTGATGCACCCGATCTTAATCTTTCTGGTCCTGATGCACATGGGAAAGGATTCAAACTAAAAATGCCAGATTTTCATATCTCTGGACCCAAAATGCATGCACCCGATGTCAGCCTTGACTTCAAAGCTCCCCACTTCAAAACTAAAGGAGGCATTTCAACGCCCAAACTAGAAGGTGACATTCAAGGTCCGGACCTTGATTTGGATGTTTCTTTGCCAAAAGGAGACATTGGAGTACCCACTTCTGAATTTGATGCCAAGGTTAAGGTTCCAGAAGTAGACTTGAATCTGACAGGGCCCGATGTAGATCTGGAAGGGCCTGATATCAAAGGCAAAAAGTTCAAATTCGGAATGCCAGATGTGCACTTCTCAGGACCCAAGATACACAAACCAGACATTAACTTTGACATAAAAGCTCCAAAACTGAAAGGAAAAGGTGACTCCCTACCTAAACTTGAAGGTGAATTTAAAGGGCCAGATGTGGATGTAAGTGTTGAAGGTCCAGATGTAGAAGGTCCCGATGGAAAGTTGAAAATGCCTAAATTCAAAATGCCCAAGTTTGGAATCTCCGGCCCAAAACTAACTGGTTCCGACATAGACTTGAATGCCACTGTGCCGAAGGCAGATATTGATGTTTCTCTACCTGATGCCCAGTTAGATGTCGGTGCTCCTGAAGTGAAAGTCGATCTTGATGCACCCGATCTTAATCTTTCTGGCCCTGATGCACATGGGAAAGGATTCAAACTAAAAATGCCAGATTTTCATATCTCTGGACCCAAAATGCATGCACCCGATGTCAGCCTTGACTTCAAAGCTCCCCACTTTAAAACTAAAGGAGGCATTTCAACGCCCAAACTAGAAGGTGACATTCAAGGTCCGGACCTTGATTTGGATGTTTCTTTGCCAAAAGGAGACATTGGAGTACCCACTTCTGAATTTGATGCCAAGGTTAAGGTTCCAGAAGTAGACTTGAATCTGACAGGGCCCGATGTAGATCTGGAAGGGCCTGATATCAAAGGCAAAAAGTTCAAATTCGGAATGCCAGATGTGCACTTCTCAGGACCCAAGATACACAAACCAGACATTAACTTTGACATAAAAGCTCCAAAACTGAAAGGAAAAGGTGACTCCCTACCTAAACTTGAAGGTGAATTTAAAGGGCCAGATGTGGATGTAAGTGTTGAAGGTCCAGATGTAGAAGGTCCCGATGGAAAGTTGAAAATGCCTAAATTCAAAATGCCCAAGTTTGGAATCTCCGGCCCAAAACTAACCGGTTCCGACATAGACTTGAATGCCACTGTGCCGAAGGCAGATATTGATGTTTCTCTACCTGATGCCCAGTTAGATGTCAGTGCTCCTGAAGTGAAAGTCGATCTTGATGCACCCGATCTTAATCTTTCTGGTCCTGATGCACATGGGAAAGGATTCAAACTAAAAATGCCAGATTTTCATATCTCTGGACCCAAAATGCATGCACCCGATGTCAGCCTTGACTTCAAAGCTCCCCACTTCAAAACTAAAGGAGGCATTTCAACGCCCAAACTAGAAGGTGACATTCAAGGTCCGGACCTTGATTTGGATGTTTCTTTGCCAAAAGGAGACATTGGAGTACCCACTTCTGAATTTGATGCCAAGGTTAAGGTTCCAGAAGTAGACTTGAATCTGACAGGGCCCGATGTAGATCTGGAAGGGCCTGATATCAAAGGCAAAAAGTTCAAATTCGGAATGCCAGATGTGCACTTCTCAGGACCCAAGATACACAAACCAGACATTAACTTTGACATAAAAGCTCCAAAACTGAAAGGAAAAGGTGACTCCCTACCTAAACTTGAAGGTGAATTTAAAGGGCCAGATGTGGATGTAAGTGTTGAAGGTCCAGATGTGGAAGGTCCCGATGGAAAGTTGAAAATGCCTAAATTCAAAATGCCCAAGTTTGGAATCTCCGGCCCAAAACTAACCGGTTCCGACATAGACTTGAATGCCACTGTGCCGAAGGCAGATATTGATGTTTCTCTACCTGATGCCCAGTTAGATGTCAGTGCTCCTGAAGTGAAAGTCGATCTTGATGCACCCGATCTTAATCTTTCTGGTCCTGATGCACATGGGAAAGGATTCAAACTAAAAATGCCAGATTTTCATATCTCTGGACCCAAAATGCATGCACCCGATGTCAGCCTTGACTTCAAAGCTCCCCACTTCAAAACTAAAGGAGGCATTTCAACGCCCAAACTAGAAGGTGACATTCAAGGTCCGGACCTTGATTTGGATGTTTCTTTGCCAAAAGGAGACATTGGAGTACCCACTTCTGAATTTGATGCCAAGGTTAAGGTTCCAGAAGTAGACTTGAATCTGACAGGGCCCGATGTAGATCTGGAAGGGCCTGATATCAAAGGCAAAAAGTTCAAATTCGGAATGCCAGATGTGCACTTCTCAGGACCCAAGATACACAAACCAGACATTAACTTTGACATAAAAGCTCCAAAACTGAAAGGAAAAGGTGACTCCCTACCTAAACTTGAAGGTGAATTTAAAGGGCCAGATGTGGATGTAAGTGTTGAAGGTCCAGATGTGGAAGGTCCCGATGGAAAGTTGAAAATGCCTAAATTCAAAATGCCCAAGTTTGGAATCTCCGGCCCAAAACTAACCGGTTCCGACATAGACTTGAATGCCACTGTGCCGAAGGCAGATATTGATGTTTCTCTACCTGATGCCCAGTTAGATGTCAGTGCTCCTGAAGTGAAAGTCGATCTTGATGCACCCGATCTTAATCTTTCTGGTCCTGATGCACATGGGAAAGGATTCAAACTAAAAATGCCAGATTTTCATATCTCTGGACCCAAAATGCATGCACCCGATGTCAGCCTTGACTTCAAAGCTCCCCACTTCAAAACTAAAGGAGGCATTTCAACGCCCAAACTAGAAGGTGACATTCAAGGTCCGGACCTTGATTTGGATGTTTCTTTGCCAAAAGGAGACATTGGAGTACCCACTTCTGAATTTGATGCCAAGGTTAAGGTTCCAGAAGTAGACTTGAATCTGACAGGGCCCGATGTAGATCTGGAAGGGCCTGATATCAAAGGCAAAAAGTTCAAATTCGGAATGCCAGATGTGCACTTCTCAGGACCCAAGATACACAAACCAGACATTAACTTTGACATAAAAGCTCCAAAACTGAAAGGAAAAGGTGACTCCCTACCTAAACTTGAAGGTGAATTTAAAGGGCCAGATGTGGATGTAAGTGTTGAAGGTCCAGATGTGGAAGGTCCCGATGGAAAGTTGAAAATGCCTAAATTCAAAATGCCCAAGTTTGGAATCTCCGGCCCAAAACTAACCGGTTCCGACATAGACTTGAATGCCACTGTGCCGAAGGCAGATATTGATGTTTCTCTACCTGATGCCCAGTTAGATGTCAGTGCTCCTGAAGTGAAAGTCGATCTTGATGCACCCGATCTTAATCTTTCTGGTCCTGATGCACATGGGAAAGGATTCAAACTAAAAATGCCAGATTTTCATATCTCTGGACCCAAAATGCATGCACCCGATGTCAGCCTTGACTTCAAAGCTCCCCACTTCAAAACTAAAGGAGGCATTTCAACGCCCAAACTAGAAGGTGACATTCAAGGTCCGGACCTTGATTTGGATGTTTCTTTGCCAAAAGGAGACATTGGAGTACCCACTTCTGAATTTGATGCCAAGGTTAAGGTTCCAGAAGTAGACTTGAATCTGACAGGGCCCGATGTAGATCTGGAAGGGCCTGATATCAAAGGCAAAAAGTTCAAATTCGGAATGCCAGATGTGCACTTCTCAGGACCCAAGATACACAAACCAGACATTAACTTTGACATAAAAGCTCCAAAACTGAAAGGAAAAGGTGACTCCCTACCTAAACTTGAAGGTGAATTTAAAGGGCCAGATGTGGATGTAAGTGTTGAAGGTCCAGATGTGGAAGGTCCCGATGGAAAGTTGAAAATGCCTAAATTCAAAATGCCCAAGTTTGGAATCTCCGGCCCAAAACTAACCGGTTCCGACATAGACTTGAATGCCACTGTGCCGAAGGCAGATATTGATGTTTCTCTACCTGATGCCCAGTTAGATGTCAGTGCTCCTGAAGTGAAAGTCGATCTTGATGCACCCGATCTTAATCTTTCTGGTCCTGATGCACATGGGAAAGGATTCAAACTAAAAATGCCAGATTTTCATATCTCTGGACCCAAAATGCATGCACCCGATGTCAGCCTTGACTTCAAAGCTCCCCACTTCAAAACTAAAGGAGGCATTTCAACGCCCAAACTAGAAGGTGACATTCAAGGTCCGGACCTTGATTTGGATGTTTCTTTGCCAAAAGGAGACATTGGAGTACCCACTTCTGAATTTGATGCCAAGGTTAAGGTTCCAGAAGTAGACTTGAATCTGACAGGGCCCGATGTAGATCTGGAAGGGCCTGATATCAAAGGCAAAAAGTTCAAATTCGGAATGCCAGATGTGCACTTCTCAGGACCCAAGATACACAAACCA